TGGGTATGGCCAATCCTTACCATTTATCTGATATTGGACAGGTTTAATAAAATGAGAAGGGCTGTCTGTTCTGATGAAATGTTTTGTATTAGGGGACATGTCTGGATCAAACGAATTGGATGGTGATTTACTGATTACACAGATGGTAAATGGTTGCTACTCAATCATGTCATGTCTATAGCGTGAGTATGATTCTGCGTTCGCAGGGAGTGGGTCAAGTGTGGACGTCCTCGTCTCCACTTGATTGAATGCAAAAAAATTAAACACCTGGAGGGGCGTCTCACAAGTGATAAGAATAATAACACGATAGAGGGTAAGAAAGAAAAAAAAGGTCCTCTAGTCTTCTAGATATTATGGGGAAATAATATACAAACACGATCAGGCCATAAACCAGTGTTTAATGGCTGTAGGGCTGGGCGATAAAAGAAAAATTTACCGGTACTGAAATTTACAACAATAACCGACATCATTTTGCCCATATCAGTATATTCAGTGTCAAAAAAATAACTAAATAAAAGTTGGTTCTGGATGTGTGTAGGTAGGCTATGGTCTCATGTCCCTTTAAGACGCTGTCCTACATCATCAAACAGGTGAGGAGATGGAGGACGGTTCAAAAGTTGTAGCGGCTGAAGTAGACGAAGTTAATGTGGGAGGGGGTGAACAGCTTGTGGAGTAGTTATCGTCTATTTATCGTTATCGAGGTGAACTGCTCAATATATTATGATATTGATTTGAGGCCATATCGCCCACATTTATGATCATTACTTTATCATTTCCTTGAAGTAATAATCATCATATTAATCAATTTGCACCGCAGACGCGGTAGTTCTTCTGCCTTAACGTCTCGGTCTGATTGCATTTCCTTTCCATCGACTGCTGCGTCACCTTGCAGCAGTCGATGGCCCAAGGTCTCGCTACAAACGAGCAGCTGCTGGAAGAGAGTAGGTGAGTCGTGTTTAGTCGCTTTGCTGAAGAAATCAGGCAAAGTTAAAAAGATGTTTGATGGCTAGTGCTATGGCTGGGACCCTATATGTACTGTTGATGAAGCTAGGTGCTGTTCTGAGCATTATTTGTGGCTATAGAGTGGCGTTTTGGTTGAGTACGTGGCTCTCTGTATTGCTATCATGTGGTCGTTACTAAAGTTGGTATAACTAGAGAAACAAGCAGTCAGCAACATTCATCTCTCGATGGGGTGTCTAACTCAGTGTTACGGTGTGTTTGATCCTAACTTAATTTTACGCCAGAATATCCCTTTAAAGCTGCATTCAGATCTGCAGGTTTAAACTTCACCCTTACTGTGAACATAACCCATAAACACCAGAGGCAGACCTGATACCACATATTGTACATATTTTGCTATTCCATCTTCATACTGTGTGAGTAAATGGAGGCCACACCTCTATATGCGGTCTTATTTTATCCATCTACCCTTTTATATAATATATAATTATTGTTGCCATAGATACTGCACAGCCTGTAAATATTTGGGACCATAACACATCCTCTGTGCATCACTGGATCATTTCTGACATGATTGAACCCTCGATAGTTTCGGTTGCCAAAGTCACCAAAGTCGAGAACCCCTGTGATATTAAGTTATGTTGAGGCAGAAGAATGACTTCTACTTTACTTCCAGACTCAAGCTGTTGCTTTAGTTTTCAGAAGGTCTCTGAAATGTCACTGCCTTCAGTGCTGAATGTCTGCGCTCTGACTGCTGGCATTATAAGACCATTTGTTAGGCCACAGCAGCTCAGTGCCTGTAAAGGTTTCTGCTTCCCTGGATCTGCTCCAAAATTGTCAGCGCTAACATATAAAGCCAAAAGGTTTCCAACCTGCAGGTTGAAACCCCACATGGAAGTCTCGCCCTGCAGGACTGAGAGAAGGGAGCGTGATTTTGCATCTCTAATGTCAGCTCTATAGCTTGACTGGAACACCTTTGAGTTTTGGAGACTGGAATAAATTAAACAGCGTGCTCGCTTTTCAAGCTGAGACCCAAAACACCTGCAGTTGTTACTGCAACATAAAAAGCAGTCAACAAAAATGACACTATTACCTCTGTTAAAATGACATTCAGACCTTTTCGAGATTGAACCAGCTTGACTCGGTTCTACACCAACCACCGGTTTATGAAAAGGCAGGTCTGTGTCTGTTTTGAAGTAGCACGCCAAATATATTTCTAGGATTAGCTCAAAGAAGAAAGTTTGATATTTTCTGTGTTGGCAGATCAAAAGGCCAAGAGCTCTTGCTTTGACTCAGGACCACTGGGCCACTTGCATCTGTTCACCGTTTGATGCTGACATTGTTGGATATTGTTTTCCATATGCTCTCAAAATGAATATGTCTTTCAAATCCCTCACATTACTGTCCAACTGTGCTTATAAATCACCTTTAATCCAGCTTTGCCTGCGTGGAGACATTTGCATCTGACTGTAATGTCATTATCCTCAAGTGCTGTTTGTGAAAAAACCACAGGGAAGAGAAGGAATCACCACTCAGCTTTCCCGGATCGTTCCTGAAAGGAGAGGAGACAATATCCCTCCTTGACATTCGCTGCATAATCTACTCTTCCTGAACAGGGCGTCCTTGCTAGATTACAAAATGCCATGCATGTCAAATTGCTGAGAATATGGCTGTCCAGCAGAGCACAACAGGCTAACAGCCAACACCACCGCAAGGTATCCCATCATTCCCATCAAAAGATGCTCCTGTTACTGCCAGAAAAGCCTCGTGCCAACGCGGCTCTCACATACCGAGGCTCTTGGAGAGCGAGGAAAGGAGGAGAAATTGTGCAGCTCTCACATTGATGGACACAGTAAGAGCTTCTGCATAATATTTAACTCCTTTTTCACAGCATATGTGGCAGGAAGCGCCCGCTGCCAGGTGTGAGGAAACAAGAACCCAGATCTGACGTAAGATCCACTGAATGTATATATGAGACGGGTGTTTCTGTATTTTAAATATCTTGTTTCCCTTATCTTGTACAGTTAAGGGACCTGCATATGTATGTACTTATAACTTAGATGTTTTTTACAGAAACATAAAGAAGGGGACAAATTATGTTCTCGACCATCCAATATAGAGTTTCTCCGAAGTAACTTTCAGAGGTAAAATTAAGCAGAAGATCATATTGTACATTTATAACACATTACAGGAAGGACAGGCAGTTTGGATATTCAGGAGAAATTGGGAGCTAGAAATGAACACTATAATTTCAGATGAAAATTGGATTTTATCATTTCAGGAGGGACAGAAAGTAACAAACAGCCCCACATGGGGGAAATGTGAGCGGGAATTCAAGATGAGATTTTTTAAGACCCCCTTTGTCACCTCAAAATTTGGTTATACCTCTGATCAATGTTGGAGAGGATGCAGATTTAATGGAGACCATACTTACATTTTCTGAGACTGTCCTAAACTATTAGATTTTGAAAGAGAAACCCAAAAATGGGAAATATAAAACAACCTTACTTTATTATAGGAACTTCACAAATAACATAAAGGATGATAACAATGTGCTACTAATGAAAGTCCTCTAACATTAACGATTAACAAAATGTTCTTTCTGGTTCCTCTTTAATATCTTTACATGTTCTTTTTGGATCAAATAAAGCCCTGTGTTTCTCACTCTGGTGTATGAAAATATTCGTCAAATGCTTCATTTAAGCTGCTGTCTCTGGCCCCACCCCTTCACTAGCCTACTTTTTCCTGATTGGCCTCAATTTTTGGCCCTGCCCACTCTATGGGGGTCAATGAGTGGAGCAGCAGAACAGTGTTACCCCACTCCACTGTTGCTGTCACTTCACATAAATGAACCGGTAACAAGTCTCATTGAGATATCGTAGTGATGGGAAGAACAGTTCTTTTGACTGTACTGAATCTTTAGAATCTGTTTATCAAAACGATTCATTTAAAAGATTCGTTCACTGAATCAGTCGGTTCTTCAGAGCCTCTTCCTGCCGGTGCAGTACACGAGTGAGTGACACAGCCGCAAATTCGTTCCCCTCCCCTGCTGCTGAAGTCACAATATCGTTGACTGGGCGACACATGTCGTTCATTCGCCAAGTCCTGAAGGAAGAATCACTTCCCTCCCCTGAAAGACTCACTTCTCTGTGTGTTGCCGTCGGCCGAAACAACACAGCAGCAAGCAGCACGCCCGCTAAACGAGCGTGAGTCGTCGTTCTTTTATATCGCCGCTGTAGCGTGGATTCCCCTACTTTTAAAGATATCAAATAGCGTATTGCTTTAAATCGGCTGAAAATAAATTCTTACTGCAGGAAAGTTTATTCACATGTATTAACTTAAGGGCACTAAACCGAACTGAGAAAGGAACGAATCAGGTCTTGGAGTGATTCCGTTCACGTCATTTACTCAGCAGTTCATGAACAACACGACACTAAGACATCGCGAGATCGCCAAACCAACCGTTTTGAGTAGTTCACATCTATTTTCTCTGATAATTACAACATACTTCATGATTTAAAAATTTATATTCATCTAGTATGGACACCAAACTGTGTAACTTTGCAGTTTTTGTTGGAAATTTGGAAAGTATAATACCCCCCAAAAGGACTTTGAAGTGACTGTTTTAAGGTCCTCTTGAACGTCTCTATCCTGGTATCCCTAATGCCTGTCTTCATGTGTCGGCTCCAGGCAATGTTTTCCATTTCTTATTTATTCCTATTTCTTTCCCCCCTCTATAATTATTTGTCTTTTCTTGAGCAGGTGTAATCCTGTAATTTTCCACTGGCTCTCTTCACAGTTGTATGTAATAACACACGGTGTACTTCTTCACTCTTAGAGTCTGTTTCTTCTCGCTCGAGTGTGGTCCTCTTAACGCTGCCAAAGCCCACACAGAGTTGCAGCTTGTCATTACTTCTTGTCTGTTGTTTTGCGGTTTGATCGACAGCTCTTCCACTCTGCGGCTCCTCCTGCGGCTTTAATAGCTCTTGCTAATTTCTGTGCTTGTCTGCCGCTTTTCGACTTCCTTTCTTTGTTGGAGATTGGTCAGCTATTAAAAGTTTTGTGCTCAGAATATTTGCTCTGCAGTCTACCGGTGCTATCCCAAACCATTGTTAAGTGGTTTCAACCAATCAGGAGTAAATACTCAACACAGCTAGATGATAATTAAGAAACTGAGTTAAGAGAAAAAAGTGTCTGAGTGTGACTTTGACTCGTTTCTATGTTGACTTTGGGATACAGTACAACAGCTTCTCTCAGTCGAGTAAAAAGTACCAGAATCAGTTACAGTGGACATTATCTTAGTTTTATCTGCTGACCATTTTTCACCTCGGTTAAACATAAACGCTAAAGTAAACCCCCTCACGTAGAGAGAAAAGAGAAAAGAGACCTTTCCTGTGACAGTAAATAAATAGGCTCCTGTTCCTGTCACCCTGATATGTGTTTCGCGCAGGTATTTCTACTATTAGTTTCAAGTGCATCGTGAGAAACATCGAGGGAGAAGACTTAATGAACTCTTTGTCTTACTCAATATTTGTCCTATATAAGCTTTTCTTTTTTATTTCTTGCTTTGCAGAAGTGGTTCTTCTTTTCTGGTTTACTGTTTCGACAAATAATCATATAAATACGGCGCAGGCCCCCGAGGAGAATGAACTGTGTTTGTTTGCTAAATGAAGTTCTCCAAGTATTTCTACATTTACTCATTTTTCTTGGTTTTTACTCCTTGATAATGGCGGCGTGGTGTTAAATAATTTTAGGGGGAACTACAATCAACACAAAACAGCTGCAAGTTTACAGTGAGTAAAGCTTAGCTGAGTTTTCAACAGAGCTTTTCTCTGTAGAAGAAGAAACCCAGAATAAAGGATAAGAGTTTCAAGAAACTCGATGAGTGGCGTTTTGGTTGAGCGCATGGCTCAAATGATGTGAAATTATTAAAAAAGCGACATTAAATCTTGGTGTTAGTCACAGATTTCAAAGTCCAACTCTTGGAAATCCCCCTTCCAGTCTTAACTTGGTCAAAGACATGCTAATTTTTCTTGACTGGATTCAGTGAGGACGAAAAAGGTGCGCAGACTAGAAATGAACGTTGTGGCGTTCATAAACGAATACAGACGAGCTAAAAATTTTGCGGACAGCTGGTCAGTAAGAAGTCTGTTTACAGTCTCTAATTGGAAGCCGAAACTTTCTAGCTATCAGCGATCGTATAACGCTGGCCTTACCAAAAAACAGAGATTTGTTACAAACTGAAGCCCGAAGAAAATTACCGTATTTTCCTGACTATAGAGCGCACCTCAATATAAGCCGCACCCACAAAATTAAAAAAAAAAAATTGGAAATGTACTTACATAAGCCGCACCGGCCTAAAAGCCGCGGTTATCTACTGAACTGAATATTTAGTTTAACTGAACATAACTGAACTGATCAGTTTCCGAACGGTGCCCAAAGCATAAAAGTGCTTATCAAATAAAACAGAAAAGTTATTGATCGCTTTATTCATCGTCCTTCTGCGCACTGAAACTATCTAAGTCCTCTTCTTCAGTGTCGGAGTTGAACAGCCTCAGGAGAGCTTCGTCACATGCCTTTTCTGTGGCGATGTCAGTGTTGTTCTCCGTGTCTGTCATCATCCCGGGGTGAAGCTGACTCTGAAGCTGAAGTGTCCTCTTCACGCAACAGTCCAGCCTTTCGGAACCCATTGGTGATGGTAGATTCCTTCACGCTGCTCCACGCAGCTAGGATCCACTGACAGACATCAGAAAATGATGCTTTTCGCATGCGGCCAGTGTTTGTGTCGGATTTATCGCCACTCGTCATTAAGTCTCCCATTCACAGTGGAGTGCTGCTTTAAACGCTCGATTTTGCTTGCATGTGCTAAATGAAAATTAGCACTTTCCTCTTTTATGTTAAAATTTGACTTTCACCTGTCTCGTTTTTTTTCACTTTATACTAAAGCGCCCCCCTGGCGGGTGAAGAAAAATCCACAGAAAAGCCGCACCACATTATAAGCCGCATAGTTCGAAGTGTGGGAAAAAAGTAGCGGCTTATAGTCAGGAAAATACGGTATTAATGAGCTTAAGACAGAGTGTATCAAGTCCAGAGTGGAAACAAGATGGGATTAAAGAAACAACAGATTTAGGAAAGTGAAGCTCTCTTCAGTGTCTGCTCAGGTAAATCATCATGTGACAAGAATACACAATAACTCGCCAAATTATATTTTCACAAATTTTCCGATTTCTAGGAGGAATCAGGAGTCCATTAATTTGCATTTTGGTCGCATTATTTAACACGGTAGCAAAACTCATTAAAACACCAGTTGGCACTCAGCAGACAGTGCTCGCTAATCGATCGCCAAAGTTAAAGGAACAAAGCTACCTAACTGTAATCATCTACGTAAACATCTATGATTTCTTCAGAGTCCGATTTTTTGAGGAAGAGGTGGAAGTATATGGTTAGGTAGGTAGTTAGCCAAGTCATTCAGCCGACAATAATAATAATAATAATAATGCATCAGATTTCATATTGCACTTTATCAGAGACCTTCAAAGCGCTCTACATTGGATACATCATTCATTCGCTCACACAGTCACACCTTGGTGATGGTAAACTACCTTAGTAGTTACAGCTGCTGTGGGGCAGACTGACGGAAACGTGGCTGCGCTTACAGCCTCTCCGACCACCACACAACACTCATAATCATACACCAGTGGAGGACACACACTGGGAGAAAGGTGGGTTAAGTGTCTTACCCAAAGACACAATGGACAGACTCGGGGTAGGGGGGAATCGAACCGCCAACCTTCCAGTTATTGGACGACCGCTCTAACCCCTGAGCTCCTGCCGCCCCAATAGCAAAAACAGAGTTTAGCTAAATGTCCCTTCATGTAATGATAAGGGCATTTGTGTTGAAATGCGACTTATTACACTTTTCAAAAATAGTTCAAGCTCTTCAGTTTTTTCAATAATAAGTGGAAGCATAAAGTATAAACCCTGAAAGACAGTAGCTCCAGTTCCATCAGCGAAAATTAACAGAATCGGGCTAATCGGTCAAGTAAAACCATGCTAGTCCTCTCCTCTGCTGTCATTTTAGGTACATCCGAATCAGCTCCACTCCCCAAACCTGAGGCTCCTTCCACTTTCATTTGAGGTCTGAGAGCAAAACTAACACTTTTTAACAATTCTAGTTCAACTGTTTGGTTTCATTGATGACTTTCACCCTGAACCGCACTAACTCAGCAAACACATCTGGGAGTGTTTTCGCTGAACTCAACATTTCAGGCATAAAAAGGGAAACCAAACAGTTCATGTTCTGCACTCCAGTTCTGTTTGCACCCTCACCACCTTTTTGTATCTCCAGCACAAACACTTCTCCTGACCTTGTAAGCTTCCACCCAACAGAAAAGATCCCACCTAATGCATTGCTCCTCTGACACACTCCCCTCCAGGGCTTTGACTTCATACACACTAGACCTATATAAATCTGCAGGAATAGATAGGTCGGCAAACTTTGTCCTGAGGCACGCACGAGCTCGGGGTTCTGCACGATCGCACGTTTTATGAAATACAGAGACTCTTTTCTATTATGCCGTATATACCTCATGAAATGCAGCTTGATGAAACAGTAATCTCCTTTACTGAACATTCAATGAAATTATATGCTGTTGTGGATGGAGCGGGGCCCCTTTCCTTTCTTCTTTTATTGCATTGTTCTCCACCGTCGGACAATACATTTTATTTGGCTTCCTCGAGCACTTCCCTTTGCCGTCGTTTCTCTTCATATTAAATGAAATCAAAATGTCATGTCTCTTGCCGCAGTCATTACTTTGTAAACTTTTGGACTTCCAAAGTCAATAAAAGTACCTCTCAGCAGCATATATCCCTGTCCTGTTTTCTTTGTTCATCTTTTCTCCTCAAGAGCAGCTCTCTTGGACTCATGCCCTTGTGGAAAAAACACCTTTTTTCTTAGACGTGCACAAATACTGCTTTCCATTTGATTGCAGGTGGTTTTTCTTAGCATTTGCAGGTTTGGAGGTTCAATGAGAACGGGTAGAAACCCTTCCACTTCACTGGAAAGACAGAGAAGCGTTTGAAGTCCAAATTCAAATCATCCTGCACACACCGCAGTGAATATTGGAGGATTTCATGCTCAGGCACGTTTGTAAAAAAATCCGTAAGAAAAGGGACAGAGCGGCTCAAAACAGAGGTGAGGAAGTGCCAGAGCTGGCAGATGATATTAAAGGGAGCAGGACAAGAGGTCAATTATGCAGCTCGCCCAGACAAAGTTTGCTTTTTGCATAGTAAACACACATAGTGCCACCTAGAAACCCGCACAAATATGAGGAAGATAGATAGGCAGGTAGAATACTCAATACTCAATACACATGTAATGATCTTTGGATTTTTTAGAAAACATTCAACTAAAAAATGTGCAATGGACTTCTTATTATACTAGTGTTTGATTTACTGTCAAAAAACAGAATACACCCTAAGTGCATGGGCATACTTAAAGAAACAATAAACAGACTGGATCCCTGACACTTGTACTAATCTGTAGACTAAGATCACTCAAGTTAAACATCACTAGAAAACGGTTCATCCCTCCAAGTACTGAGGCTGCTCGGTCATGCATGCTACATCAGATCTATCTGTGGAAAAGAGCTCTGACATATTTCACTTTCTTATTTAACTGACAATGAGGTAAAAAAAAACTCATTTTTTTGGTGAGCACGCTTACTTGGTAGATGAATAAATCTAGAAGATACTCAAATAGTAGATCCTGTCCTGTAATCAAGGCAATGGCAGCAGAGTTGGCAACGGCATTTCACGATAATGATTGCTTTACAGAAAGTACTTGCTATGGTTTTTCTTCTTTCTGCTTTTCTCCTACTTTTTTTTGTTCTTCTTTTAGTTTTTCTTCCTCTTTTTCTTCTTTTTGTTTTTATTCTTTTCTTTTTCTTCTTATTTTTCTTCTTTTTGTTTTTCTTCTTCTATTTTTTTGTTTTTCTTCTTCTTCAAATCCATTCACTAAAACTGGAGGAAATCTATGACGATTAAATGAATTACTATGAAATGAAATATTGCACATTTCTGTTTTAAGATGGCCATGCTATAATGGAGGCTCTGTTTTGATCCGTCAACCAATCAGGGTGGCTGTATTTGTGATCAGCTGACCTACATTTTTTTGTGCACAAAAAATTCTACAGGAAAATAAAAATAAAAAGGTTGATTAAGAATAAGGTTGTCATGCAAAATCAATTATGGCATTAGTATCAGTAAAAAAAAAAAATCCATCTCTATTTTTGTTGCAGGCGGCACATCATCATGAACTAAGCTGCCTCACCTCCTTTGACCTCTACAAGTGTAAAGTTAGACACTACATTGTGTTACTTACTTCATGTTACAGTCAGGTCAATGTGTCGGTCTGCTCATATCCGTTGGGCTTGACTTTGTCATATTATTTTTCTGGACAGTACTTGCAATTGTTTTGGATTGTTGCAATAGCAAACATAAGACTATTATGATGGAAGCATATCTGCCACTCTGATTATGATGAGAGTATTAAAAACCTTATAAATGTCTCTTTTAGTTAAATTTGCAACATAATAAATTGGATTCATTGGGATTATTTGCGAGATAACTCCGACCCTGGAATTAAAAAATACATTGTTCGACAGCTTTGGTTAAAAATGTGTCAAACTCTGAGCAGAGCGGCTGAATAAAGACAGAAAGGTTAACACAGATGAGCCCTTATAAATATCCTCGACTGATATTACTGTCAGTAAAATCTGGATAATCACAAATAAGCAGGCAGTTGCTTGACCTTGATGAAAATGTTCATTTTAATGTTTACTTGGCCAACAAGCGGGAGTATAAAAACCCGTTGCCATGGAACTGAGAGGCTAATTTTTTAAGCCGTCATAAATCAATATTTTCCTGTCATCTTGTTTGTTTTTTAAGCAGTTTGCTGGATAATAAACAGGGTTTGTTGTGGGAGTCAGGATCTGTCTGTTTTGCACATTCAATGACTCGCCATACATTATCCCTTATATAACAGATACAGTGCAGATGTTTTATTGTGTAAACACATACACGTCTCTGCAAAACAACTGAACAACCTTGTATCTTTCAGTATGAAGTACGAACATGCGACTGACAGAGTGCAGCGATAAAAAATGAGCGTTGAGTTGCAGCAGGTGCAGCTTGAATGAGACAAAGTCTGTTTCCTCAATAGAGGTTAAAGTGCCGTAGAGCTTTAAATAAAAGAAATACCAGATATTGAATCAGAAAGAACAAAATTAATCCACTTGTCTTTTGTGCATGCATGCCTGCTGCCACTCCTCACTGTAGTTCCTGCATCTGTACAGCAGTGAGCCTGTTGTCTTCACCCAGAGCTACATGATTGCTTTGGACACCTGTTACGAGCCGAGCGGTCTCTGCTCTGTGTATCTGCTTTCTGACTCCCGTCTCACAGAGATGTTTAAATGTTTTGCCAGCCCCGCCCTGCCCGTTTTCCAGCCAAATCCATTTCATCCTCTCAGTGAGCTCAGTTACAGACACGGAGATCCTTTCATCCCCCAAAGAGGTACCCTGCGCTTCACTGAAACAGCGTGACAGACAAAAGCTTGGGGGGACGCCTGTGGCCAGCCCGCAGTCTCATCTCCTATCCATAATCTAGCCCGCCCCTGCCACTGCAGATTACCTCCATGGAAAGCAGTGGTGCTTGGCTGTGCTGGGCGAGCGGCGGGCGGCGATGGCAGCAGCATATGTAATGACACCGTCTGCCTCGTGCTGACAGAGCAAGATAAACATCCTCTTCTTCCCAGGCCCGTTCGAAAAGCGTCTGCGAGGTATTCAAAGAGGTTATGATGCAGGAGGCGGGAGTTGGAGGTTATTACGTCCCCGTGAGGATGAAGACTTCAGTCCACTGTACGTGGACGTAATCCGTACTTCCAAAGAGAAAGGGATTACCAGAGATGAAAGGATTTAGAACAAGAGATTTTAAGAGGGCTGGTAATTCCAACATATGCACAGAAATTTTAAAAAAGCACACACATGCACACACACGCACACAGACACAGACACACAGAGACAGAGGTAGTGCAGGACTTAGCGTTCAATTTGATCAAAAGTATGATATCAGTGGGTGTCTACAACATGGAATATAATGGATTGAACAGACCTCGCTCCTCTTTCTTTTTCCGTCTCACCTCCTTTCTCCTTGCCTCTCAATATTCCCTTCTTATACTTCCCTCCAGGTCTCCTCCTGCCTTTCCTGATTTTTATTCCAGTCTACTTCTCTCCCCCGCTTCTCCTCTTCACTCCTTTCTTCATCATCTGTCTTGTACCTTCTCTCTTTTTTTTCCTCTATCTTGTGATCTCCAGCTGTCTTGCCTCCTACCTCTATTTTCACTTTTCTATTATCCTTCCTCTTCTGTCCTTGTCTCCTTCTTGTTCTTCCTCTCTTCGTTCACTAGAACAGGAAAAATGGCCCGGTCCGAATTAAACTGACCCAGAGGAAAGACTTTGATCCGAATGAGACAGATTTGGACTTCTAGGTAGAAAAATTGGGTTAATCTTTTCTTGTTGATGTGCACATATACACTCATTCTGGTGGCATTTTGTGCATGCTAGGTCCATGTCTCTTGTGACTTGACATTAGGTGCAGATACTTTGAAGCAACATGGCGGTGGAAAACTAGTTAGAGAACGGAGAGAGGGTTATTATTTTATCAAAAACAAGCCAGCGACAAAAGCTACTAATCTGCACAACAGATGCTCGACCTCCATTTTCTTTACTGTGTCAAAGAAAACAATCACCAATCATCAAGATTGAAAAGTTCTTAAAGCTCCTGTGAGGTACTTTCTGTCTGGAAGTGATTTAGAGATGGTAGTGAGGCAGGAAGAGCAAACCTCACCTTTACTTCATATACATAAAATAAAAAGCCAAGGCAGGGAGAGCAGCAGCAAACAAAAACTTTTGCGACAAACACTTTTATGTTTACCCCTGAATTAGTTTCTGTGTTGACAGGTTGAGTCCGCCTTCAGACAGACTTTGCAGCGGAAAGTGGTTTGGTCTTTGTCCAGAACTGTGAAGCTGTACCAATTCCACACGACTGACTTGCTCTTGTCCTATTTAGCCACGAAATTATCGCCTTCTTTTGCAAACGCCATGTTTGTTTACACTGGTGTGTGTGAGAAACTAGGGAGCGATCCCGCAGGAAGGGGGAGCTACGGTTGCCTGGAGGCGCGAAGCATGATAGAAAGAAAAATCGATTTGCGGTTTGAATTTCTTCAACATCATCATAATTAGGGTTGGGTATCATTTGTTTTTGAACGATTTGGTTTTGGTGTTCGGCGGCTTCTTCTTTGTTGGTGTTTAGCAGCATCTTCCTCATTGGTGTTCGGTGGCTATATCTTCCGGTTGGCAGACACCGGCATCGAAACTTGGAATCAAAATTTTTCCAGGAGAATCAGATTGTTAGTCCTGGTCCCCATCGATGCTCGAGACTCGGTGCCCAACCCTAGTCATGATCAAATAATCCAATTACGATTTAAAATTGATTAATCGTGCAGCCCTAGAAGACATCATTGACGGCATATTGACTGATGAAATCAGACACAGCATGAAAAGCAGCTGGTTGGGGGGGCGGGTTGTAACGCAGTCTGCAGAGGCAGCAGGAAGGGTAGGCGGGCTGAAGCGGTTTAAATAGATCACCCATTATTGATATTTGCCAGAGGGATGCGTGGAAGCAAACTGGCTGGGCTGTCAGCTGGCTGGGAGTGAGGATCAGCTAACTTTCAGGGGGTGGAGTCTAATTTCCTGGCCTGTCTGAACTAACACTCTGCATTGTACAAATGGGATTACTCACATTTTCTCCAACTACTGGGACTTTTCTTCGCTCTGCTAGTCCAAAAGTTGCACGCAGATAACGCTTCATTTCTTTCCTTTGTGGCATATAGGCAGTGGGAAAGTGTCACGATTACACAGCAGCAGACTGAATATTGGCTCTCAACAATACTAACAGCAGCTTCCGTCCTTTTGTCCAGCACTGCCTGAATGATGAGAGGAGAATAAAGTAAGTAGAAAAGTGCCAGCAGCCACTGAGTGCACATTTACATTAAACATCATTTGAGTGCCAGTCACGTATGTAGCTGTGACAGAGCCGCTGACAAACAGTGAAACCTACAGTATCCTAATACAGGCATGCTGATTAAATAACAGCCCTATAACGACACCTCCTACAGTCAGCTTGCTCATTTATTTTTAGAGGTCCCTGCAGTGTTGAACACACTGAAGCAATAATTCTGGCAGAGCCTTTTCTTATCCATCAGAGCACTGAAAGCTATAATAGATATTACAGTTTTTCATGTGTGGTTGCCTGAGTGCGCTTGAAAATTAATAATTCACAAAATTAATAAGTGTTGGTTGGTGTGGTGGGGTCTGTTGTCTGTATATCCCTCTGTGAGAAGATAAATCCTTTCTGATGTGCTGCTGTGATTCATGAACCTGGAGTGCTTTCTACACAAGGTTGATTTAGTCTGGAGTTATGGGTCATCGAGGAGGGCGCGTACGGCGCTAAAGGTTTAAAATGATGCTGCATTAGAGAAGACGGGGAGACCACTCTCTCAGCTCTGTTATTAATGATCTGCTAACAAGACAAATTCACAGTGAGGGTGAAATTGTACACCTCCACAATCAGGACTTCCCCAGACGCCTTTTCACTCTCTAAATCTTCCTAACACTGCTCATTTACCTGGCTCTTCATTGACAGTGGGGACTATTCATTCTGCAGGCTGTAAACCGA